TAGCATTTATTTGTTGGGATTGGTAATTTTCTCGCATCTCTTATCAACTTCCTTATTTTATGTAATTTGGATTTGGTTTATTGAACAATTATTAGTTGGATAGCTGTGTGGTCATATTTGTTTAGATGACGATGTACACGTAAATTTGTGACGAATATTAGAACCGTCATTTTACTCAATTACTTTGTTTTGGCTTCAACCGGGCATGGGCGCGTATCTAACCAACCTAGACAGCTATTCTTCAGTCCAAACCTTAGTTTGGATCTTACAGTTATATCCACGCACTTCTAGTCAATCTGATAAGTATAGATACAAATAGAATTCAACACGTGTGAACAGCAAGCTGTCAACGACACAGACTGACTTTCTACTTTTAATCAATGACAGTACAAACATCAGCATCAATTGACATTAACCCTATATTACTACTTCTGTGGTATCATTAATCTCAAGGCAGACTGTACGTTGCTTATCTGAGGAACTCAACCAATTGTCAACACAATGTATTTTAACACTGTTTGGTATCACTTTGAAATGTTACAGTTATTTTATTATTGTCATCGTCAATTGCCTAATGCATCAGACATCGTGAGGTGGAGTTAAACTACGGAAGTTTTCATGGTTAGTTTGTACTTGACAGATACAACGAAAACCTGGTGAAAGAAGGCATGTGATGGTAGAAGGAGAATTAAAGATAATTATAACACGAAGCTTTCAAGGTATAGATGGAAAAAATAAGTCCTCATCTGTCACAGACTGTATTAAAAACATAAAACAAATTGCTACAATTGTAAAAACCTGGAATATTATACATAATTATTTCGTTGCCACCTACTTGCTTGAAGAGGCTAGCAGCAATCGGCTGGGCAACGTGCTGCGATTATTTGAGCTTCAGCCATAGATCATCACAAATATAAATCTAAGAAATCTAAATGGGACCAATGCCCTGAGACAGTAAGGGGTTTAACATGTCTCTTTTGAGCACAGAAGGTAGACAGCACATAATCGACTGCTGGGTTCCCAGACGGGTACATGATTTCGGTGCCTATTTACTTCTGATCGTTTTTACCTAATCTGTATAAAATGTAGGGGATGCTATGTTCGGTAATATGACGTCGTATCCAGTTGAAACCTAAATTGGGATTGTTAGTGTACGTGCAATACGTTTTTCTAGTGTTGCAATAAGTGGCACAAATGTAGACGATTTTAACGAAAACTTGACTGGAGTGATGGAGTATATGACTTGTATGAAATTAACTAGGAAATGTTATTAGACATCATAAATATAGCATATAATTATGTAATGCGGTAGTGAAACGTGCTGCGTTACATTTACTTCTATGTAGTAAGGATTTGAATTAGACGCTTGTCCGATACGATATAGATCGCAGGGAAATTCGCATAGAATTAGAGGTACCGTTGGTTCAATTCTTCGGCGGGAATGGCGTTGCTCACAGATTCTTTATAAGTCTAAAACAACTAGAGTCGAATTCGTCGTATTGCCTAGACGTACGATTTAGACGAAATTCAAAATCCCAGGGAGTTTATACTTCAAACTCACTCAATTTCTGGTGTCCTTATTTCCTTGCCGACCGTAGAAATTGACAGTCGGAAATTAGGAAGACAGTGGTCGGGTAAGGAAAAAGTGTATGGGATAGTTTGTGGCAAATAATAGCGTATAAAGCGAAAGAGCGGGAAGATATATTCATAGTCGTTAGCTGATCTTGTCCCGCTTATATGATTGGATAGTTATTCGTGTCACCTTGTGACTGTAGTCACATGTGGATGCTATATTGACAAACTCATTACGCAGGAGCATTTGCATGCTGCTATCGCTTGGTAACGAACCATGATAGCCAATTACACTCACAGCCGATTAGTCACTTTGATCGATTGAGAGGGGGTTGTCATGTCTGGATACTTATCGATATTGGGATAAAGCAGCAAATGTTCATAATAATTAACAAACTTATGAGACAACAGTGGAAATGAAAAAATAAGTACAGAGTGCATTTATGAAGATTATAACGGGTTGCGTTATTCAAAGTCTTGCTCACTAGTGTTCATCACTGGCATAGATGACCTGTGCCGAATGATTTGGAGATCTTCATAATGTGGATAAGGGTGACGTCACCTCCCATCTTACGTCGAAATAATACCCCCCTGTTAGTACCTGACTTAAACTAACCCTCCATCGTGTCAAGGCACCATGGTTACTTTGACGACTGTGTAACTAAACCGTGACGTTATGGCAGAAATAAACTAGTAATATCATGTACAAGAGCAAAGTGTGGCCGCTGCAGTGTGAGCCAGCCTATGGATTGTACCTGGCTGATGTGTGTTGTTTTTCCTTGATATCCAAGACAATATTTAGAAAGGTAAACTTCAGTCTTCAGCAATAAGGATAGTAGGTTGGTGGGCCTGTGTTAATCCTGACGGTTCGCCATCCAGTGGTGGTCTAGCTTCTCCTTAAAAATGTTCACTGAATGGGCTGGTACCACTTATTTGAGGCAAGGCGTTCCAATCTTTGAGAAAGACAGAAACCCATCTTGAGTTTATTAGATCGTGGTTTGTAAACTTTCTTCCTGCCACCTTGGAGCTAAGTTGTGCTGCATGGAGCGAAAATATAAGAAATCCTTTGGCTGCAGCTGCGTTGCAATTCGTAGTTTTTTAGTCGCAATTTGTTATTATTCCTAAATCTTTATGTTCCTTAATGAATGGAAGAGATATACCATTAATAGCATACTGGCATCTACTACCGTGCCCACTCCTAGAATTTCAGAGAGATCAAGAACAAAGATTGGTGCAGAATAATATGAATTCATTTCGTTAGGTTTTCATTAGCTGCTTACAACCTATAATATTTTAAAATCAACTTTATTACAGATATTAACATACTTATACATACGAGGGTGATTAAACATTAATATATGTATCATGATGTAGAGAAGATTTTATTAGAGTTGATATAATCGTAAAAATTTTGTTTCGGATAGATAAAGTTTAGGAGCGAAAATTCCATTGAATTAGTGACTAGAACTTATGGAGTTAACAAATATTAGGTGATTATATTTTGAAGCGACTAAAAACACATTAATGGTTATAAATAATGAATTGAAATCAGTCAGCTATGAACTGAGGAAAATTGACAATGATGTGATCAAACCTCAGAAGGAATTGATGTAATAAATGACGTAATAGATAAAAAGGAGCGTAATGTTACCAGGGCAAAGAAAGATTTATCACTGCCACTTTTTGTATACATAGATCTGGTTCAAAACATTTGATTGTTATCGCTTTGGCAAATTTCAAAAGATTGGAGTTCGACTGTTTGTTAATCATTGTGAAAGATTTTACTATATCGACTTCATATCCTGTGTCAAGGACATGTCATCACCGTTGAATTTATGTCGAATAAAAATAGGTTTCTAATTTGCTATGATTTCTTTGGGTTTCTTATCCTCACTTTTTCCATATTTCTCAATAAATTTCAGTGGGTATCCGTTATCTTTTAAACATATGTGTAGAATTATGGTCTACTATGATATTAGTACTGCGCTAGTAATATGCCTAATCCTAAAATTGTAGACTTTTCATGATATAACTGCCTAGTCTATAAGATATTACGTAGAAGTCATACCATCTTCCACACCAACTCATCATATCGTAACAATCACCAGTACATGATGCCGAACAAGCCTAGGCTAGTGATAGAACAATATATTTAGTATGAATAAAAGACATAAGTTAACATTCAACAAGGGCCACACCTGCAAGGCCTAGCCATGCCATTCGATGAACTCCAATTCAATCAATTCCTTGTTCCTGACTTTTCCATCGTTAGGTATTTCTCCGCGTTAAATATTGAATATCTGTTCTCCGAGTAGTTTCGTGTTCAGCTTTGAGGATTGTGTAGTTATGGTTCAATCTCCCTACATATGTTAACATTCGTTACTTCCTCTTTTAGTGTGTCGGAAGTTTATATTCCTTCTGTTCTGTGAAACAGCGTTTCAACAAGTGCACTTTTATAACTGATTAGACAAAAACTATGGAATTTGAAAAAATCCCAATCCATGTGTCTTTCTTATAAACTGAACGTTGAACTACGCTATCCTTCCTTCGTTTTATTGTGACATCGAGAAAATTGAACTTGTTATCATTTTCATGTTCCATAGTAAACTGCATATTTGGATGGGCTTCCTTGGAATATTTTAGCAGATTTGTTGCATATTGTTGATTATTACGTACGATGAAGGTGTCACAGACATACCTCGAAAAATACATCATTTCATCAACCGCTCCTTTGAGCTTGGTTCTTTCAAAATTAGCCAAGAAAACATCTGCTAGAACAGGACCTAACGGACTTTCCATTGCTAAACCATTAGAAGATACGGTTACAAGTAGTATGCTTTTAAGGTCAGTATAACAACATGACGAGATTGAATAGACTTTTAGGTACGAAGTTAACAGGGCTCGAAGCGATCGTACCCATTTCAAATCTTTCGGACAAGGCATTGAAAACAGGAGACGTGTAAAATAGTCTCTCACAGAGATACTGACAGTTGATGTCTCAAAATCTTTGACTTGGTGACCGCATTTGGACTGAGCTTGTGCAATCTTGTGCTCCTCTGAGAATGCAGCCTATTCTTTCATCTAAGTGGCTTTGGTCCGTAGCATATAATACTGATCATATGAGAATGACAGACGCTCCCAGAATATTTTTAAAGCATGTTAAATACCTTCGGTTTAAAATAGAAAAAAAAGGGGACATGCTACGAAATGTCAGATGCCAAAAAACAAACAGTCGATTACTTCTGCTCAGAAAATGTTCGAAAGTTATCTTTGACTGTATTTCATCAAATCCAGTCTTGTTATATAGAACAGAAAATCACCTAAGCTCTTCTATACCTGCTTTTATTCAGTCTTGAGAAATTACATGTCATTGGAGTTGGTTTACGAGCACTGTAGAGATATATTTAACGTTGATTCATTGAAAAACCGTTCAATATGTGAGCGCGTATCGTGTAAATGTACGTTACCACAATGTTAAAACTACTTGGTCGGTACATTTGATATGGACTGCCAAATTGAATGTAGATGACATCGCACAAGTTAGTCGCTTGCATTTCAATAATTGTGTTGTATGACAGCTACATTATTGGTGATTTTATTACATATATGAGTATCACGTAATAATGTCCAGATTGTCATTTATTTTTAATTCAAATTTACTGCGAAATATCAAACACATGAATTTTTTAGATCTCTTAATGACTAGGGATAGTATAACGAGAAGAAGATTGTCAGAACTATGTAGTGGCTGTTAAGGTGGATAGTGATACTCGCCTTCAGGTCTGCATATCTCACATGAGTACTTTGTTTCTACACTTTCAGTAAAACGAAAATCTCGAAGTGAGACTACAGCACGGATGTCTTCGTTATTCTTTGCATCTAGATCCACTGGTGGGTAGTGTACATTAAGTATGTTTTCCTATTTTATAAGTAGGCATTTAGATGCTTTGCTCGATCTCATATATATTTGTTTTAGCAGCATCGCTCACTGACATCCAAACATAAACAGTATATATCTATATTGTGTCCCTTTTGTATATGTATTCTGTAGTGATGATGCGGCCTAACATTTATCACTGACTAAACATACACAAGAGCGTCCCAAAAAGGAGTAAAATAAGATCTTACAAAAAGCATTTACTTTGTGTCCGACTCGAGGAAAACTAAAAAAGTTAATGTATCTGCATAATGCTGCCGACTTCAAATTACGTCTATTTTATTAGTTACTAGCCCCTTTCTTCCAAAAGCCATGTTTTACAGTCGGAAAAACGGGGCGGACTATTGTCCTGTATAATTGTTTTTTAAGACTGGTAGATATATCACCTACCCTATGTGTGACATGTTAGTGAAGAACATCGCTTGAGGTTGCCAGTCCTGATGACAGTTATTCAATAAGCTTCGACCCAACTTATAATATTTAAGCACAGCGCCTTCGGGAGGTTTACGTACTTCGGCATTATTTTTAGTGACGAACTGAGATGAAGTATCCCGGTTGATCTAGTCAAATGAAGCTTTAGAACTGGGATATAAGTTGTCGGACATCGGAAAGTATGAGTTTATTCTGAAACTGATGAAAGGTAAGTATCCAATAGATAGAATCGATTCCAGTTCTAGAACCATCCTAGTTTTTCTGTTTGCTCTCCACACCCTTCAGCGTTAGATTATTAGTAAGCTCTGTAAGGTCACTGAATTTCATCTGAGTGCGTTTTACGTTGTCTAGTGTGTTGCTTAAACCCTGCTAGATTACGACCTCCCTGCCACCGTACCGATTTACAGTTGGCTGTGAATCCTCTCTAAGTAATGCAGCTGAATCCCGAAATTTACCACAATGTGTTCAACATTTGACTACAGAATACTAGGTTAAAGTGCCAATAATTTGACAGCATATAACATCTTTTATATATTTCTGGTTAATCGCTGGCTATATAATCAAGAAAAAAGTTTAAGACCTGTCAATAAGCAATAAAAGCTAACGTATACATAAATGTGACGGTGAGTGTCAATATTTAGTTAAAAATAAGGATTTAGTTTATCTGCTGCACCACCACTGATTTTGCCCCATATCACCTAAGATTTACAATCACAAACTACGGTTATTTCACGGACCCTAACCATACAGCCAACACCTTCCTAAACATCTAACCTCAAATATCTCACTCCGTGTAGTCGAACTAGGTGTTGATACTGACTATTCTTGAAGAGGCTTATTGCAGTTAGGGAGTAGACCCCAAGAATTTTTGTATGAGCACTCGAGGCGTTCAGTAAACTGCTTTTTATCAGGATTGTGTTATGTACATGCTGAGCTCGTAAATGATTCTCTAAATAGGTCAACCCCTTAAAAATAAGATTAGAAGCATTTAATGGGATAACATCTGTGATGAAATTGTACAAATTGTTGAGAGTGGATAGCACTAACCAGCGCCATTGAATCAGTCCAAATATTACAATTCTAAAATGTTCGTAGTATATCGATCCTATTGAAGCATACCGTATCCGTGTTAAAGTGTCTGTTGTTTTTAAATTTGTTTTTGATAATAATCAGGTAATATTTACGTTGCTGTGGGTGACTGTTCTTATTTTAATACCGAACACTATACCTGTCAATGTTTAGCATGGCGTAATCCTTGTTGAGAAATCGCTAGTCCAGAAATCTATTTTAGTTGGATATCTACTTGATAATTTCACATTTCCTGCAATCCGTTCACCTCTAAAGTTTTAACCTACCCTTTAAAGTCCTAATTCATCTAGTTAACTAAAGAGATAAAAATAATTCAGTTTTAGCTTTTTGAACTTCCTTTTATACATTAAGCTATAATATCTGTAAACCAGCAAATGTAATAATTATATTCATCATAATCAGTCGGTTACATCGTAGAACCTGGTACGTATGAAATTGTTAGGCCAATTCCCAGAGTAGTAGAGACACAACACTCAGTGGTAATAGAGAAGTTTGGCTATCGAATATACGATTCAAGAAAACATAAACCAGCGGAACAAAAGGTTATGGGTAATTCAGAAGCCTAGATTTTAGGGGTAGACAAAGAATGGCTGCACCTACGCCATCGCAAACGATTTTGAGCTATGTTATCCAAAGTTCCTAACCACTGGTTACGATAATCACGCGTCCTAATAAAGTAGTTTACACCTATTAATACGGTCGTCACTACTGTTTTCACCGGTCAGAAATAGGTTTTTGTTTCACAATTCTCACCTTTTTATGATAATAACTGTCATTTTGTCTTGCTAATGTTCTACATTTGATCTTTAAATAATAATTTAATCATAGTTAGAATTATTTCATCCAGCGCCACCGTGGTAACAACTCCCAACCTATGCATAAAAAACATTTTAATACCACCATGATTAACATAAGTTCGTAACCTTCTGGTCTCTCAAACAAACATTAACCATACTTAGAAAGATGAGCTAACAGTTTCTAATATCGAAACATTACTCATCTGAACATTTTTAGCTCGTCATCTTGATTACTTTTACTAACAATTAAAAAAATAATTCTCAATGTAATAATTTTTAAGATGGTGGTATATTATCTGATGTCTTACCCCATACAGTCAATTACCTCTCCTTTTTTTGCCATTTGCAGAGGTATGCTAGAAAGACGCGGATATCGTTCACTTCATATTAGTCGTTTACAATTGAAACGATGGTCATCTTATCTTGCTACTGCATTTGCGGTACTTGATAACTTTCAATGTGTTTATTATTAATTATCACATGTTTAGATTCTCTCATTTGTTTTTATTTCTGGTGGAATTTGGCTACTTGAAAATAATCGGATCGAGTCTGAAATTATCGGCAGGCGATATTACTACGAAGAAGGAGTTTTGTTTGTAATCATTGGGATACTATTGCTTCTTTCGCTTGTTTGTCAAGCTTTTATGATTCATCTATTGTTTGTTGCAAAAAAGCCATGGAGATTTACTGAAGTCAAGGTAAAGAGAGCAATTGCACTGGTATGGTATATGTTGACATAAACATAATTATCTTATACAGTATTTAGTTTTTCTGTTTGCAGTGACAATTCCTCATATTTATTGTTTGTATCATGTGAAAACAATTAGAACAAAAGTACGTACATCTTTTTTTATTTACAGCTTTTGCTTCATTACTCACATACATGTTAGTCGAATAATAACTACTTATTAGTAGATATCTCGCTCTAACAATATTCGTGTAATCATAATGTTCGTTTTAGCTGTTAAGATAATCTTTATATCAAATTATATTGTCACGTCCAACACAAAGCGACTTTTTCACTGTTTACTAGTGGGTTAGGCGTCTGAGAAGTTAATCTCACTTATTAAAACGTTTGTTGTAGATTATTCATTCGAATTCGATTCAGCAACTAGTATTGAAGTATTACTTTAAGAGTTTGAGCTTTCTGTATCCATCTAGGTACCATCTTGAATTTAACCTTATCATATTACACATAAAGGTAAAGTTTGAAAATAACTTTTTATGGGTCGTCAAATAATTTCTTTTGCAGTTCAATCTATCCTTTCTCCCCAGAATATTCTATTATGTATTTTGATAGTAAATCCAACTGATAATCATACTACCCAGTTTACGTTCCAAATACCGTCGAATATTTTATTGGTAAAACGACTTTCTGTTTGCATTACTTCTTTGAGAATATACAAAAACATCTTTAATATAGAGAAACTATATTTTTTTACATTTTGTTACTTATATACATTGTGAACTTTCACTATTACATCACCGTTATAACAAGATATCCTATTATTGAGGAACTCGTTAGTAACTCCATCTTATGCGAAACATACTACAGATTACTTCAAACCACCTAATGGCCTTTGACCCTTCAATTAGTTCGGAAATTTATATACTCTAGTGGGTCTGAAGAAACATATTGATTACTTCTACAGTCATTTGTGAATGGGTCAACATGAAAGATCTGATTGAATTATTTTACGGGTATTAAACATCAGGATATAAAGTATACTTGTTAATATCTCTTCATAACTAAAACAACGTTAACGTTTTGTTCAACAGTTTTATCTGAGCGTTTTTAGAAAAAGAGTCCTTAAATAATATGAGTAAAATTTCAAGATTATTCTATTTCAAGCAGTGAAATATTCGCAAATGTAGTGCTTAATGTGAGATTATTATTCAACTAATTTGTCTTGACAATATTTGATTTCTTTTTAGTTAATATGGTCAATTAAAGAACAAACTGAAGAGGCTTTGATTAGTTTGTACGGATTCGAACCTGATTTTACATCTGCATGGGATCATCTACAGTCTCAGGTCAGTACATATAGAATGATTAGTATCGGTTAATTTGTCTTTTTAGTGGACAACTAAGCATTAATACGACATATGTAAAAAGGTTAACCAAATACTGGATATGTACAAAATATTCACTGTACTATTTCATAGTTACTGTTTTATCAACTTCATTCGTTCTTTTCGAACCAAATTCTTCCTTTAAGATACGCTGCAGTAGAAAAATCTGGATTTATTTTGAGCGTTTTATTATGTGGTAATAAACTGAATTTCTTGCTTACTAATGAATGTTCTCTGCATCTATATAATCTAAGTAACTTGAAACATACTGTCATCTTTTGCTTCTCTCTTGTTTTATTATACTGATAATTTTACTATGAGATAATGAATCGTATTTCAAACCGATATTATTATTTCTATCAAGAATGACTAGTTCAGAATAACAGTTAAGTGTAAATGACATGGATTAAATTTAAGGCTAATGAAGCGTCAACAGTTGAATGATTATTTTTAAATCATGTTAGTCTGAATAAGGAGTTTAAAATTTTGTTTATTTGATTTTGTGTTGTATTTAGTAATTCGAATGTTAGTAAAACCATTCACTGGCAAATTCTATACTTCTTATTTAATACGAATTTAGGTCATATCGGTGTTCATTGTGACTTGGCATGACTATGTATTGAAATGACAAATTTTATTATTATTATTACCATATATTACTGGCCATGATAATTAAAGTTGATAAATAGATTATATTTCGAGTTTTACAATTCTTCACTTCCTTTGAAATTATCCTGAATCGTGAAAGTAATTCACATGTATATATTTATCGTATTTAGGTCATTTATGCATAACTATTGTCAAGATATATCTATGTCTAAACATATACGCATATTTGTTACCTAGTAGTTGTCTCCATTGGACCCCATTAACCAAGTAATTAACTTACTGAATAAATACAAGAAACTTATACTTGAAAGTGAATTACTTATCCTCTTACTGTGCGATTTGTAAATAATACTTTTAAGGTCACTCATTTTCATCATATTGAATTAAACGCATATTGTATGAAAACTTCATTTTTAACTTCTATGCATCAACACCAGATCATTTAAATCGTACTATTCTACTAAATACTATTGTGTTTTATCGATTTTTTTACTTAACCAGTTGGTGATTAGCTTCCGCAAGTGTGGTATACATTTAATATTTTCAGATTGTTAATTTAGTTTGTCATGATCCCCAAGTATCTGTGATTAAATTTACTTATTGTCAAAAAATTTGTATTCTTTGCGTTAGTGCGGGATTTCAGATGAAGTTATGATGGATGATATCTATGTTCTGTTAGAAAGGATCTAAAGTGGCAGTACAATAATTCAAACTACTTTAAGCGGGATTTATCCATCTCTGGAAGATCTTATTTATAGTTGTGCACCATTTGCGTAATCTCTTTATATCTGTAACAGTTCATTTTCCGAGTCTAGAACGCTTAATGACTTTGTGTTCAATTATCACTGTTATCACACTATTGATCTCATATAGTTAAAAACACTTCCTAAGTAATAATCAAGTTTTTAGTTGTGTTTGAACATAACAAAAACTTTTATTTATCCTAGGACAGATTGTTCTGTTGTTAAAGTATCCTTTAAATATACATATTCATAGATTTACATAATTACTTCATCTTTAAAGCGTAAAATAAATAGCAAAAGTTAAGAACTTAAACAGTTGAATTTAAAGTTTTCCATGAAATAATTAATATTTACTATGCGTTCAATGGAGAATGCTGATAGGTGGCCTATGCTCCTTCATAAGAGGTAACAGGCGCACGAACGCCTAACCTCTAGACCACTGACCCGGCATCCAACGGTGTTAATTTCTAACTTCGACATAAATCAAACTTTCGGAGATTTATGTCCATGATGACTGGTTTTCAATGACATCCCAAAAATTTACTTTGAATACTCATAGGATTGGTTAAAGCTAGACATTGACACCATTGGATACCGGCTCAGTGGTCTAGAGGTTAAGCATTCATGAGCAAGACCGATAGGTGCTGGGTTCAAATCCTGCGGGTGGCATCGTGGATGCGTACTGCTGAGGAGTTTCATACTCAGACGAAACGGCCGTCCAGTGCTTCCAGATCTTCCATTGTGGCCTGACTCATGAATTCAACTAATAAACATTTTTATCTATTTTAACCAGTTCAACACAAAATTATTGTCTAGCAAGAAAAATTATGTTGATATTATATATATTCAAAACTGAGAGTAGATATCTATGGTTACGAGATTTGTCAATGGCTTTTCTCCAGATATTGCTTACTTTGTTGGAAGTTACAAGAAAGCTGGATTATATAATAGTATTTATATTTTTTCTTACCAATTCTAAGATCATATTTAATTACCTATGTGATTTGTAAATCAACCAAAGTATAATTCAAAGTATCGCCTTACAAAAGGATTACTAAAATAAATGAACTGACACAACTATTCGTTTATCCAAATAGTCACGATTTTATAACATGACAACATGAGGGGTGGATAAGACCAAAGCTGTAGAAATGAAAAAAAGTGATTCATTAACCCCAATGAAAAGTTAGAGGAAAAGTACAATGAGAATAGCTAAAAACGGGGCAAAAGTTGAATAGATGCAGCTAAAGGAAAACGATGTGTAAATTCATCTGCATGTGACTATTGGTTTTCCATTATATCACGAGTTTATAACTACTTTATCTGATTGCCTTACAAATACAGCTGCAAAATCTATGATTCCCTGCACGTTTTGAATCAACAACTAACTGCATCATAAAGTAATCCCACCACCTAACCTCATCATCATCATTCCATTAAGCTACGACTTGATCACAAGGAAGTCCTACTCCATGCCTTCTCGCGATGGAGGTGTTGCTTACAAAGTTGAGAGGACAAAATGCGAATATCCTGTGCCTTAACCGGGTTGGCGGATATAGAGGAGTTGGAAAACCCTGATTCCAAACCAATGGTGCACATGGGCTCCAGAATCCTGAGGAAACAAATGGTGTGTGAGCCAATTGTTGGTGACCGGTTTCTATGGGACTGCATCTCCTTACGTCGCTCCACTGCCTTGTGGATTAGACCACTATGTCAAAGGCTCAGGGTGTGGCCTCCTGAGAAAATCAACTGTTTCAGTTTGGGCACCCGAGTAGTATTCCAGCCTTCACATACACGAGCATTCTCCATCGAACTCGATCCTAGGCAATATTCTCCAGTTACTACTCATCCTTTTGATATTTTGCTTTCAACAGTATAAATAATATTTCGCAGTTATTATGCTTCCGGATAATTAATTTTTACCATAAACAATATCATTGGTTTTATTGGTAAATAGTCAGTTTTTGAATTTAAGTCTTTAAACAAATTAGCGTTTTAGTTAAATACATAATATTGACAAAAAAATCCGTAAGATAGAGATGTACATTAGATGTCATTCGATTAGAAACTTATCAATTCTGTACAGTTTGCACATTAGTTGTTCAAAGCTGTTACATTTAATCTGTTTGTTCCTTCTTTGTTTTATGTAGTTAAACTCCTAAATTTACTTTGGATAAATTTTGATAACGTACTAGGATATGACGTTTACGAAAACCATGTGACACTTTAAATAACGATTTGACTGCATACTAACTAAGTGGTTAATAAAATTACACAAAAATGTGAAATATTCAAACTTATTTATTGGGCAGTGTACGAATAACAAAGATGATAAAGACTGAACAACATTATCCAAATACCCTCAGTATTACAAGTAGGATTGATATCATCCAAAATAGGTCTCATGTGAGGATCAGCTCTATAGTAAAGATTAACATTTTCATAATCCGTGACCAGGTTGTTCGCAGTGTATTGCATCAACCTAATCTCATGATCTTAATAAACTTGGTCTTTGCATCATGCTTTCTAAAGACTATAGATTAGCCCTTGGAGCTGGTTATCGTTTTATTTTATATTCTCAGCCAGTGAAATCACAATCTTCATTTAAGTTATGATTGACAAATTTAGAAGTGAAAATGGTTTACATAAACAAATAGTTCAAGTCTGTTTAAAATGTATCAATTAATCGTTGATATCCCGTTTAGAAGCTATTATTTTAGAATTACACTCCACAATAATGATAAATCAGGTGAGTGTTCAAAAATGATATATAGTCTCCTTTTGTGTAACAATTAACTAAGGAATTCAGTTTGGTTTGATATTAGTGTAAAAAAGACATGCTAAGTAGTCCGTGACCATCTAATTAAATGTGTGGTCGTGAATACTCGTGAGATTGAGCTTAGAACCTTAAGGCCATTTGGGAACTACGTTTACGTTTGTACTTCTCTACCTGACTTAAGACTATACTGCTTTTATTTTTACGCAACACATAATATTCTACAGAATTTCCTTTGTTAGGCATTACCGTAGTCACAATTAACTTTAATCAGTATTATATACTGTTCCTTAAAATCCCTACTCTTTTGGTTTCATCCGTTAGTATATGTTTAAAAATACACTGTGATTTTTTAATCTTTGGTCTCACCTGTACTAGTTCCCTATAACTCTAATTCTCTGTAATCTAAAAAAAGCACACAACTTTTACCAGTGTGCTTGTTTCTAATAACTTTTCTTCCGTCAAGACTCATGTTTATTTGTCCTTCGTAATGAACTTGCATCTAGGAAAATTTCCATTGAATTAGTGGTCAGCTATTGATCAACGCGCAGTAGCCCAAGTGCATTCATTCTTCATCTTTCCGTAGTTCCTGAACACCGAAATTCCCTTATATATTTTAGTCTTATTTTTGTACATCTGCTCTTTCCCACTAGTATTTATGCTGTTACCACTTTTACTACTCTGGAATTTATCTTTATAATTTTATCTCACTGCGTTGATATAGTGTGACGATTCGAACCGACACTCAGTTGACAGGTTTTACGTTTAATATGAATGATAAACAAATATGGTAATTCACTGTCTTAATGTTACTCAAATGGATTAATAGTGATGTATAAGTTGCTAAATAAAATGCTTTCGAATCTCAATAGTAACACTAATTTCCCCTAAAAGAAAATCTGGCATAAAGGCTTTTTGTTAATTTTAAAAGTCTTTATTCGTAAAATTTTTTATCAGTAAGGGGTTGTGAATATTGTTGAATTTGGCTGAAATCATGAAGTGATCAATGCTAGGCCACCATCGCGCGAGACCGGAGGTCTTGGAACTGAGTCCTGTTTGTGGGATCGTGGATGTACGCGGCTGAGGAGTCCCATACTAGGGCGGAACCACTGTTCAGTGCTTCCAGGGTTTCACATTGATCGGTTCGTGATTTCAATAAGAAACATTTTAATTTTTGGGAGAATAAACCTTAAAATTGGATGAATAATAAACATTTTAGTGTAAATAAGTTACATGCTTCAGTAATTACACTGTTTCTGTGTATCCAATTTTTCTAAAACGCAGTCTAAATTTTTCTCTAACTTTACATACTAAATTTCTATTTACTAAGACAAAAATGAAAGATTTACAATAATTGAAGGAAATATTACAATTCATTCAACACGGATGCTCAACAATTTGTCAAGTTCACCAAATTGTTTTTCTCTGAAAACATTTTATTGTTTAAGCATGTATAGAAAAATATTGACAGATTATAGGACGTCATAGTTTAATTTTATTTTCATATTAAATTGATTACATTTAGAGTGAATGTTGTGGATTTTCGGGTCCTCAAATATATGCCTCTTCAAAATGGAAATACAGTCAACCTAATTCTTCAACTTTTATCAGCTTAGTACCTGATTCTTGTCTTACACTTAAAAGTTTAGAAGAACAAGTACTTGAAGATATAAAAACCAAGTCTGATTATGAAGAACCTAGACAAGTGACTTTTCAAAAAGTAAGTTCAATTAAATCTTATAAATAATATATATTTGTGTAAGTATGTTTAAGTTTTGTACAAAAATATAAAATTAATTTATTCACTTCAAAATATGACATCTTTAGCCTCCAACCATCAACTTCTACTGTTTTACAAGCACATTATTTAAAATAGTGACTGGACTTGTACCGCATATTCCTTCATCTTCTTTAGAGCTTCTAGTTTATTTCTTTAGGTAGGACATTTCTTGAAGTAAGAGACAATACAATCTACCTAACACTTACTTGCTTACTTACGCCTGTTACTCCCAATGGAGCATAGGCCGCCGACCAGCATTCTCCAACCCACTCTGTCCTGGGCCTTCCTTTCTAGTTCGATCCAATTTAGTTCATTCTTCTCATATCTGTCTCCATTTCTTGGTGTAATGTGTTCTTTGGTCTTCCTCTCATCCTTTGGCCTTGAGGATTCCATGTGAGAGCTTGCCTTGTGACACAGTTAGGTGCTTTCCTCAATGTGTATCCTATAACCCTTCCAATACTTCCTCCTGATTTCTTCCTCTACTGAGATCTGGTTCGTTCTCTCCCACAGTAGGTTGTTGCTAATAGTGTCTGGCCGACGGATCCGAAGTATTTTGCGTAGACAATTGTTAATAAACACCTGTATCTTCTGAATGATAGCTTTCTTATTTCTCCAGGTTCCCACCCCATACAGTAGAACTGTCTTGACATTTGTATTGAAAATCCTGACCTTGGTGTTGGTTGACAGTTGTTTTGATTTCCAGATTTTCTTCAGTTGTAAATATGTTGCTCTTGCTTTGCCAATCTGCTTAACGCTAGACTAGGTTAAATCTTTCGTAGTTTTTTGTCAAGCGTTTTGGATGCCATCAAGCTCACTGATTATTTCATTCACATTCAAAGTTTGACTGTTAGTGTCTCTGATTCATTTGAATGAGACGTAATAGCGTCGATATGTGGTTCTAGTAGTAAATAAATTATATGCATTGGTTGGTTAAAGAAGACAATTTTGTTGGTCACTAAAGCCAAAGGTGAGTTTAATACATATCATAGTATGTCAGACACCATGCAGACACATTAAAAGCAGTGACAGTTGTCTTTCATCCTATTTGTACATGATTACATTAAATTATTTGGACTCATGTTTGAGTTAAGGAGAGGAGAATTCGCGTAGTACATCGGCAGTGACCTTATCAGAAGTTAGTTTTAACCAGGAACGTGTTGTCGTATGCGGAATACTACAGATGACAACTCCCATTATCCAACTTTCTAACCAACAGGATCCGACTGATCGCTCGGGAAATTTCTTTGTCCCTAGTTTTCCGTTCTACACACCACAATACATGTTAGTCAAGCGTTGCTAAAGTCATTCATTTGATACAATTCATCGTTATTTCGACACGAGTTATGATGTATTGAAGCGTGGACAGATATAGTGGAAAAAGCCAATAATTATTTTAGCTAAATTTCCTTTCCTATATCCACCTAATTGATTATTATCCTAGATCCACTCAACCAATCCTGCCTTTGATATGGCAAGTAGTAATTATTGTCTTCAGAAAGATCTTTTCATAAGACTATCCATCGGAACCGTATATAAAAACATGTTCATACTCGTTTAATTAAATTTTATTAATATTCCATTTACAAGTTAAAAATATTCCAGAGAATAATGTACTAATAATGTTGATATATGTAATACCATATTAAAAACTTACACGTCCGATTTGGCTGAACGCTTCAACCAAAGGACAGAAAAAAGTATCGTTAATAATATATATAATCTCAACCATCTAATGCTTTTTCCTTCATTTATGATTGACTTTTAAATCAAAATGACCAGTCATTCATACACCTAGTATCCATGTTTATCACCTTGAAAGTCCCTGTCACCTTCTTTCTAATTACCATAATTTTTGAATATTTTCCTTTCCGATTTCTAAGGGATGCGCAGAATTTCTTTATACTCATATAGAAGGTGTTCTAAGCGGTTCGTTTATCGTACCGGTTATTTCTCTTGTGATTGTAGTAAGTTTGTTATTTTTTACGTTTGTATTTTCCTGTGTATCTGTCATTGTTCTTTGATGTAAATTTAAGATAACTGTTCATATTGTACTCGGTTGAAAGAAATGGTCATTCTTAATAAGGTTCAAGATTTTGGTGGAGTTTCGTTATCTGCACTTGACTGTCTAATCATAGAGCTTTCATTGTTCTTTTGAACAACATCAAGAATGTAGAAAAGTGTGTAGTGAAAAAATATTATTCCCTCTCATTTTGGTTGGAAGTCTTTACTAATATGCACGTAAAGTATCATTATTCAAGATCCAGTCGTCCAATCCTGCTCCGGACATAGCGAAATCAACAAATTGGGAAAGACTGAACAGATATAAGATCAAGAGTCAGGTCAAAGGGGGAGACATTCAAAATAAAAATGCAGAAAATGACAGGTTAAAGGTCAGTAACAACTAATCAAGATCAACAGGGCAAGCTGTTAGTTATATATGGCGTATGAACCAATCGTTGGCCACTGGCTTCCATGAGTCCACATTTCCTTACGATACTTCACTGCCTTGTGGATCAGACCTTCAGGTCGAAGGCTCCGGGTGTGGCCCCTTAGGAAAACCACGCTTCGGTTTGGGCACCCGGGCAGTATCACAGCCTTCACACATATCAAATGAGATTTGTGTGGCGCACATGTATTTGGTGCCTCCTTGTACCAGTATCTATGTGTTAAAATAAATAATAAACTACTATAGTGCGAAGATATCAATGATGGGAAAGGAGTTGACAATATTATATAATGTCTCTTTACATTTAACATTGCTGGACGTCTGTTTATATTTTGTCTCTGACCAATTCTATTTTGCTTCCATTAGTCACGCATCACGTAGGTTGACTGCTAAATTTATTTATATTTGAATCATTTAATAGGATTTAATTGTTTCGCTTAATAATAAATAGTTTAATTCTGTGCTGGTGAATAATTTCTATTCACAATCGTTGACTTCTAACTAGTTTAATATAACAAACAAATTGTATTGTGGGACAATTATAGCAAAATCATAGTTAACAAATATGACACTTTGAAATAGATTGAAAAGTGTACATAACACATTAAATAAATACTTCTAAGATAACGTAAGTTATTCAATACTTAAAAAACCTTTAAAAAAGCAAGGTCATTCGCACCTCACTTGAACGTGTGTTACCTAAATTTTGCAACTATCAGTTTCTACACAAAGTTGTTCTGAACTCTGTTAACAAATTTACACTTTCTTCTTGATACTAAAACCAGTCTGTTAGATCATTTTAGCCTACAAATTTTATTTATCATTCTTAAGGTTGGGAAAATTGTTGAACCTTATTAAAATCACAAACCGATCTCTACAACCCTCATACTGATAATTTTCGGGTGCTTACTAGTGACTAGCATAGAGAGAAAAATTTTCAGATTCAAGTGAAAAGCTGTGACCACTTCAGTCCAATCGTGTTGCGTATGAGAGAAACACCCACCTAGGATGGTAGCTAACTGTGCAATATCATGGAACCCATACTAAGACGAAACAGATGTTCACTGCCTCCAGGTTTTCAGTGGTTTTCTAACTTAGATCCGTTCATAGTCTCAAATAAAATTTTTATTTAGTTGTAATTGATAATATATCATAACATTTATTTGATATTCTTCTCACTGTCTTTCTCTTGATTACTTTCTCTTTTTTCCAAAAATAATTATTTTGCTCTGTCTACTGTCTTCACAACAAATACTCAATTGCTCTTGTCCACTAAAACAACAACATCAACCAGTCTTTTTCATTTGTTCTTGGAATCGTTTTGTGTAATTTCGTGGTGGTTGGAGAAGAAATTTAAAACAATGAGAAAGATATTTAACATCAACTCAATTATCATCAGGCTATTTTGATCTGATCTGATCTGAAGAAAATCTCCAGTTTTTTTTCCTTTTTAAAGACCAAACTATAATTTCACACTTGCTTTCGTTTTTTTTTCTTTACTTAATTTATTTTTTAGAGGAAATTGTTTATTTGCTATTACGAATACTAATGTTATTGCTATTACCGTCACGATTTTTTTTTCTGTTTAGAAAGTTTATTTTTCAATCAGTTACTCATTTTTTTCACCATTAATTTTCTCGTTGATTTGAATTGCGAGAAAAAGTATCTGATCAAGTATGATTTTATCATTTTTATTATTATTTACTGCTTAGCCCGCCTTATTACTTTTATTACTCTACATTATTTTGTCTGTATATTCACTGATTTATACATACATGAAATGTATTAGCCTTTTATGATGAATAAATCAATTCATGATGATTATGATAAAATGATTTATATTATTGTTTTTTTTTCCAAAGAGAAATCTACTTAGTGTACATTATTCCATGGGATTATTTTAATGTATATTTAGCTTTAAATTCTATCTTTTTTATGAAAGGCTAGTTATGTTATTCAGGTACTGGACTTTACAGTTCAGTGTTTGAAATTGAACGACTACAACTATACTTGAAAGACAGGTTTATCAACTTCTGTTTAGTATAACAACAGTGAAGAAGAACTAAAGATGGTTATTGTTACACAGTGTCTTTGTAGGTAATACTTTATCTATTTGCGCTAAACTCTAGTTTTATTGGGAACTCAATTGTTCATTCATATATAAATGGATCCTCTCTATTCACTTCCAGTAACATCTAAAGTATCATTTATTTGGCAAAAATTAAATCGTATAACCTTAGTGATAATGATCAGAGATAAGATTTATGTGTGCATTATTTAAAAACATCAAAAAACATTGGTAATTCTCTATTTCACCGTACACATATAGTATTTTACTAAAAAGTTAGTCATCAAATTCCAATAATTCGTTATTTGTATATATTTTTTCAATATGAATAAAATTCTAAAGCTAGAATTGTAAGATGTAAGTATACCAGATGAGTTTGTTTGTTTCCTAGCAAAATGTTTGTTAAACGCTTTATTCATGATCAGTTTTTCAAACGATCAAACGCGTCAGCTTCTCGGTCACACATACCAAGAACTCATTATCATTGAATAATTTCCAGCTGGTTATAACCAATATATTTTTAATCTGTTGGGTTTACCAACTTTTAATCTTTCCACTATAACTAGGATTGTTAACTTCCATTATGTAATTAGTTGAGTCAAATTGTAATTTACTGAGTTGATGTAAGCTGAAAACCATCAGTTATCTTAGGTACCGTTATTCGACGTCAAGTGATATTATTGAGTGATATCGATACCAGTTTTTTGGGGTATATATTTCCGTGTAAGCAAGAATTATTTGCTATAAAGATGATTTTATACCAAAGAGGTTTCAGAATGCTTCCGTCTATCAGTTCTGTATGATTTACTAAACTCCTTCAACTGTTATTTAATAATTCAGTGTTAACATCTCAAGCTGTGTGACACCGATTTGAGTTCCATATAGAACATTTTTCTCATAATTCCATGAACAGCTTACTGATATATACCACCCGGCACAAAACCTAGGTTAAGGGTTTGATGGAAACTACCTTGCATCGTTCGATGCATTTGGTGATACTATCTTACTAGTTTTCCCAGATTTTACCGCTAAGAATAAATTCCTGTTTGCATACTGGCATGCGTTTCTGGATTCGATATGAATACGATGTTCCGGTTAACTTATTTTTCATCTGTGTTAATAAAAAATCTAGTAAGAATAGTAATTTACGTTTACAAGTAAATCAATTGAATAAACAGGTACAAGTTATTGTATTGTGTTTGATTTTCATCTACGCGTATTGCGCAACGGTTAGTGAAATCATACCGAAGTTTATAATGCGAAACTCAGACCTATAGTTCAAAGTTGGTCATGTATAATTACTGGATCCTGCTAATAGTTATGAATACTGAAACTTAAAATGTTTACCATCCTTCCAAAAATTATCTTAATAAGTATATCACTTTTCACCGCGAAAGTAAGTTACACTGGTTTGATTTTTTCTGGGACAAATGTTTCCTCATTGTTATATTTGCTGTATTCTGAGCGGCGATACTATATCCAAGGGTTTACCAACAATAAACTTCAAACACTTTTAAATTGTATAAATTTCCCAATTGGATACATCAATCTGTAAATAGACTACAAAAATGAGTACTGGATAAACATGTAACGAATGATCGATTTGTATGGAGAATTGTTGCTGTTTGCGTTTAAAACACACTATAAAGCAATTTCACTTATTCTCTTCAACAAATAGATTAACCAAATTGAAATTTTATCATGCTTAATTTGTCAGGTTTATTAAATGAGACTATTAGCTGACTAATCACTGAATGTTATTCCTTCGTAATTGTGTACATATCAAGTTTATGATACAGTCGGCACTTTTAAGTTTTATTTTCAATATTTAAGATTTTTGTAGCAAGCAATTCATGTGTTATTATTATCACTAGTACTGTTAGATCATAGTCAACAAACGACGCTTATGAAATAAGCAACGGGTGTTTACTAGACATAATATTATAACAGAGATATTGTGTTGATGTATTTTCAATCTCCTGAAATGATATGAAGTGTAGGCAATTGTTGATATGAATCATAGAAATTGGTCCAAAATACAATGCACACAAATCGAAAGATATAAAAACACTAGGCAGTAATAGTTATCTACTTCTGGTGAAACGATACAAATATAAACAATTTTTCATTGCAAAAAGTATTCATAATTTTAAGTTGAAGTATAAGGGGAACAGTTTTTGTAAGTCATCGATCGACCAGTCAAATGAAAATCTGACACTATTCTTATCGTTCATATCACGTTATGTAAAATTCATACTTTATATTATTTGTTTATCAGTAACTATGTCCGACTGGTTTATGAACAGGGCATTAGTATTATCATTAATGATCTTACTTCCAAAAATTGTTTTGCAGAATTTTATGGTGTATTATTGCTTTTGTGTATCTACATCAGGTCTTTATTTGAACTTATTCCTCACAGCCGTCTACTCTAAGCAATAGCGTTGCCTGAACCAAACAACTATAAGAGAGTTACACTGATTGATAAGCTATTCAGTAGTCATAATCTAAATTCAAACTGATCTGCTTGTAATTTTTGAAGGACAATGGTTAGTTATACTGAGATAGATTGAAATACTATCTTAATATGTTAAAACATGGTATAATTGTTTTTCCGAAGGACTACAATAAGAGTAGCATTATGAAAAAACACTAGGGGAATATTCGTTTACTATTAGTATGCGTTGTGCACTTTCCAGTAGTTTCAACACATCCCTTAACGATCATAGGCCTCATCAAACTAGTGCTATCATATTCAATCTGAAAATGTACTTTTCTACTGGTCTTAAACTGCTCTACTCAATTCTCTGTATTACGTAACTCCGAGTAATCCTGAAAGTAAGAAAAGATTGAAGTGATTTAAATAAGAACATCAATAAATAGATATATTATGGTTGTTTTGAAGTCAGTCTCACTGAAGTACGCCACTAATAAAGCATTTGAAGGACCTTAACTTACCAATCATGAGACTAACTAACACAATCTCTATTTAGTCATGTACAATCTATATAATTTCATTATTTTAATTTGTATTTGGAAGTCTGGTAATTTCGTAATTAACACATCCAACCATACAAGTTGTTTCTAACACTATTTGTAGCCTGTATAAAATATTATTTGTTTCTCTATTTGGTTTTTTATCAAATATTAAAACAAAAAGCTTATTATGAATTTAATATATGCTAAATTTCATTATGCTTATTGAGTTATATTTAATAGACTGCTATGGGTAACCAGTATATATTGACTGTTGTTAGTTAAGTTTTGTATGCTATTAAACTGTTGGTTTAGTCTTACATTTTTTTGGAAGACTGAAACAATAATTATATGAGACTTACAATTGACCAAAGTTATGTATTTAATTTTCTGCCCCTGATTTAAGTCATTTGTGAGGCTGGCTAATTACACTTTTACCCAAAATGGGACGAATGTACTGGATAACACTTAGTCTATATTAACTTATGGGTTTGAAATGTCGTTTAAAGGTAGTGTAATAGGTGAGGATGTTTAAATCTCCATTGGCTACCATTGTGGTGTGTGCTACTTATATTAACACAAGTAGTATATGATGTTAGTCGTGAACAGAAGGTCTGGCAGCAGAGAGACAAGAGGATCGAACAGTAAAGAATGGAAACAGGATGCAATTTGTATGAAAATGAAAGAACAATGAAGTTTGAGTCATTTTGAGACAATTGGTGGACATTTTGCAAATTAAGCATTTATTTTATGATTATTAGATTTTATTAATATGTCCTGTAATTTTGTGCTAAATGCATTTGATTGTGCCTACTGGTGTTCGTGTTCACTACAGCATTACTAACGGACATATTGTGTATGCCCAAGAGAGACCCGCCTGCACTTTCGTTAGCGTCTGGAATTGGCCCAGATTGATGAACGCTGTGAAAACTCGGACCTGTTCAAGTGATCATCTTATGTGGCCATCAATAGTTGGTCTGAGTCATATATGGAGTTATCTTCCTTCTGTCTCGGGACAATCGTAATTTATGGTTGGAGACCTTATGTGGTAATTCTTAAGATCAGTTTCAGTAGAGCAGACATATGAATGAGTTACATCTATTTGAAGTGTAAACATAATCCTGTTCGCTCCCAGATTAACTCATTATCAATATTGGTGATTTCGTATTTTCTTCGATCAGCTTTGCTACAATCTACGGATTTTCATCAGAATATCGAAAAATATTCTTTCAAGCTAATCATTGATAGGAACAACACAGTTTATTTAATCATTTTATTGATTTAACGAAGCTTTGTAAAGACTAATTCATCTATGGGATGGTTCAAGCGTCACTCTATAAAACGACTTGACGAAAGTCTGGAACTATACTAAGGTTCCAAATTGATGTTGGAATTTTTATGTATTTTATTAGTATATGAGCACACAGAACATCAAAGTCGAAAATCTATCACTAAAACAGGAGTGAAATTTCAGCATGTAAAGTAGTTTTACATATTTGTGTCCAACCTGGTCATTAAGTTGACTTAATGACGTTATGAATCAATGATCTGAGAGCCATGTATGTGAAATTTTCGCCTTTTTAGACGGTTTATACAACACAAAGTTGTAGTGTGGCGTCGAGTTGAGATTAACTGTGAACACCGCTACCAGGAAACACGTGCCAGATAAATCAGAAGGCGAGGGTTGAACGTAACCAGATTTATTTCGTTGGCGATCTCGTGGTATTGAACGAATACCGAGATCGTGCCAAGAAGAGGTACAAGCGAAAGCAGAAGACAGGAGTACGTGCGAACAGTACCAAAAACCGCGGAACAACCATGGAAGGTAATGGAAGCACAAAATGGCTATAATTAGCACAGTTAAACAAAAGCACATT